TTTGGCGATTTAACAGAATCAGAGGAATATAATGAGGTGATATTTTTACAATCTACATTTTTATGGATCTCTGTGAGCATCTGGAGTAAAACATGACGTATTTCAGTTTCAGGAAACATCTCCACCTGCTTCCAACTCTCCGCCCGGCCGAATTCTCATCCGTGATTCCGGGAGTTCCATCTCCATCACCACGGCGACGGACCAACCAGGCTTCCTGTTCCCCGTCGTCAAGACGACCCCGATTACAGTCCGACGAAAAATGACAGAGGAGTCTTCACTGTCATGGTCACCTGACCAAAACAAGAGCAGAAATGAGACCAAACGGCCACTGAACAGACTCCTTCCAGAGGAGAGCGGCCACCTTCCTCACAGCAACATGCAGGTCACAGACGTCTACTATGAAGACATCCTCAGCACCAGCACCACAAACCCCACACCAGCCCAAAACAACGACCTTCTCACTGCACTGCCAGATGCTCAGGACCAAGAAACCTCAACCATGACAGCCAAAACTTCAAATACCACCGCTAAACCTGCAGTAAACACAACCTCAATAGCTAACTCTAGCACTGCCTCCACTGAATCAGCAATTTCGGCGTCTATGAAGATCATTTCTCAGACCACTCAGCCCCTGTTTAATGGTAAGACAGTCTTTTTCGGGGTGTTTTCTTAATCAAAACCTCACTAAATGCTAACTTGCTTGTAGGAAAGTCATAGACACGCTGGTTATGAAGATGACTAGCGGTAAAGCTAACAATAGTACTAGGTAGTTTGGTGATTGCAGTGTTTCCCAACCGTTTTCATCTTTCAATCTCCTTTGTAGCATACTCCTAAGTTTAGCATACTTAAGTGTTTGAGTACTTATTACGGAAATATCTATTTTAAAAGAATAAACTTAAGTGTGAACTGAATGTAATGCATGTTAATTGCAATTAAATGAAAATGTATTGTAGTTTAAATTGATATGAAATGCTATTAGAGTGCTTTTTTGACAGTGTACTGCAGAAAATAATGATTGACATTTATAATGACATTTATGTTAAACTAAAATATGTTTATAAATATGTTTTAATGTCATATTTCTAATGAAATTGGCATGTCTTGTACTTCAGTGGATTTGTAATTACACATTTCAAATTATATTCAAGTGCTTTAGTATGTCAGTCAACGCATCTAAATTAGTGTACTACTTTAAAGCATGACAAAAATTTAAAATATACTTAAAGTAAAACTTTTTAAAAGTGT